AGGAGCAATTTACTACCAAAAATGCGCAGATAAGGTATTTTCAGGAATTTTTATTGCAGAAAAACATGTTAGAATTTGCTGGGGCGTTGAAAATCTTCGGAAAATGTCATACTGATTAAGTAATAATTTTTGCGGGTGGCCAGAGAAAATTCAGTTTAAAAAGAATTAACAGGGATTAAATATTTTGAGACTATGCTTAACGACACTTAATGTAACAGCGCTACTTACACAATCTTTTCTGATCAAACACACCTTTCAGAATTCGGTTAAATTATTATGAGATAGAATGTCTACTCTAGGTCAAATAAGCACCAAAGCCAAAACAGCCTGAAAAATCGTATTCCGAAGACTTCGCTTAATATCAGTGAAATAATTTCTGGTACAAATATTCACTGACATTAAATTAAGTGCAGGTCCCTTCTCAATTTTTTTCCTTTCTTGTAAAGCATTATCCCGCCGCCATTCCTTGGCTGTGTTTCAACGTAGCGGCATTTTCTTAAATGCTAAAGTTAATCAATTTTAAATGCTAAATACTAGCTGTCCATTTGGCGTTTGCACTTTCTAATTACTGTCGATTTTACTGCCGGCTCTGTTTAGCGGATGCAGGTGACACCTACACAGATTATGTGGCCACAAGATGGTACCGAGCCCCTGAACTGCTAGTTGGAGATACACACTATGGACCGCCTGTGGACGTTTGGGCTATCGGCTGCGTTTTTGCTGAGATGCTCACTAAAGTACCCTTGTGGCCGGGCCGGTCAGATCTTGATCAGCTCTACCTAATTACCCGAAACTTAGGTAAAATATTATTTATGACTGCTTCAGATGTCCTAATTTTTTCTTTGTACCTTCGAGAGTACTCAGTGGTTTGCCCAAAATAGGATCCAATAGAGATAAGATACAAAGTGAAATAAGGAAATATCGAACCTTTTTCCCCAATGTGGAGGCATCCGATCAAGGGCAGGTACCGCTGTTGGAGCCGAAAAGTTTACTTCGGTTTAGGACTCCTGGGTAGCTTTAACTGATTGAAATGGATCGAAAGCTGTGTTTAAGTAGTTTTCCTCCGCAATTTATAAGCATTTTGGCTAATAAAAAGGGGAGGAGAAGCAGGTCGTCTTCTTCGAAGAAAATGAAATTTTTATATCTAGTTTGGCAAGACATGGGAATCTGTCAATGCCCCCTCCTGCTGCAGATGCTAGTGGATTGGCATATCATTAGCTTAGACAGACAAGTTCTTTCCCTCTATGAACTACCTTGACATTCGTAAAAACTCAATTATTAAGTTTTCTAGTTTTTCCTCCAAAAATAGTGTTAATTCAGAGGAACTTGTAAGCACTGATAAAAAATAAATCGAGTAACGCCGATCTATTCAAATCAGCCTGATCAGTTTCTTACAAACTTTTAATTGTGTTTTAGGAAACCTTCTGCCACAACAACAGAAGACCTTTTTGACTAATAGCTACTTCTCCGGCGTCGTTCTCCCCCGCCCGCGGATTTTGGTATGATTATCTTAGCTCTACAAACTAAGGTTTACTTAAATTTAAACAGTAGTGAATATTTTTAACGATAAGTTACCGAGTGGAATGCCACATTTCAGGCTATTTATGCAGGCTTCATGCGTATTCAACGCTATTTGCTCATCTACAAGAAATTAATCAATTTTATTGCTCTTAAGTTTAATGCGCTCGTTTTGGGGATTGTTCGGTAAAAGAAGCTGTCGAGAAGCTTGCAAACTTGATATGTTGGAAAATGCAACCCCCACAACTGGCTGGATTCTTCCTCTTACCGAAATAAATCACATAAGTTGCTTTGTCTACGAACGAAGAAAAATTAGTCAAATACATTGAATGATATACAATCCAACGGTAGTATTAAGAACAGCGTGGGCGGCTGTGACTGGCATGAATAAGCCAGGTTGAAAGGGCGGCTGAAGAAAGTCGGTGGTTGAGTCGTGAATCGATGGCAAATCGGTATGCCATGTCATTACGGATTGAGTTGAGAGATACCGTTGACAGTAGAAGTAGGATCAGACATTAGACAGGATATCTGCATGCTAGTACTCATAGAGGGACTGTTCTGCTGGATTGGGAAGGAACCATGGCTTGGGTTCGATAGACTGAGGCAGGTTGCTGACTGCACTACACGACAGGACGCCGGTTACGAAATTCTCCATATCGTGGTCACATAATAGGACACGGGGGAAATTCAGTTGAAGTCGGGGGAGGTTTGATGATGACTGAGCTCAGCCAAATCAGAAGGTTGCGTGTTCATATCACATCGGGGTCACCGGTTTCAAAGATTTAGTAGTCGACTGCAGAAGGTTCCTCCAAGTCAGAAGTCAGGTAAGACTGTTAAGATAGGACGGCGTGTCCTGTAAGATGGAGCTAACAATGGGCGCAGCAGAACAGTTATTGCATGCAGTCTCCTTAAACAGTTGTT